CCTCAACAAATTAAAGGGGAGCCCATTATAGCCGGGCAATAAAGGGGTCATTTGTATAGATTAGCCGACGACAAGCAATCTCAAATCCAATAACATCAAAATTAAGACACATAACTATGTGTGAAGTTCGATTTGGGGATCCAAACAAATAACAAAAGGGGGAAATTTTGATGTGTCACTCACATCACGAACTGTGTGGTAACAAATTCTTTAGAGGAATTTCGAATCGCAAAAGAATTTCATGAAAATTTCTTAAATAATATTTTATTTTGCATAATAAAATCAGGCGAAATGATATATGAATTAATGCCAACGGTAATATCTATCATTAGGGATTTTCTCACTAACATAAAAAATTAATGGCATAGATTATGGTTTAACATCTATACGAGGGCCGGTGGCAAAAGTTGTTATTCCCGTCACGTGATATAAAGAGAAAAGAAAGGCATATTTTTCTTTCATTACATGATAGAATATCAGCTAAAACTCATAGCTAGTCCTTAAAGATTACAAAATATCCAATAAGCCAAAGAAATATTCAGGGCTGTCACAGAAACCATGTCGGTTTTGCTTATTGTCGTTTTTGTAAACCAATGTTGGTTTCATTTGGTGTCATGAAACCAAGTTGGTTTTGTCAATTTCGAATGTAAATAAAACCAATGTTCGAAACAGCTGTTGTTGCTTACATGTGTTGTTTGTTTATTTGTCATAAGTCGCTATAAATAAAGTAAGATGGCATCTGCAGTGGTAGTTTTTGTGTTGTTGGACGCAGAACGCTCAGAAAAGGTGACGAGAAAAGCTCTTAGAGATTTCAGCAACCCACTGGAGTTGCCGGAGATAGCGTAAGTAATTTTTTTTATTGTGAACTTGCTCATAAAGCTGCTTTGCAGATTTATGGTTTATGGTCCTTTAAAAATTATTTAAAAAATTCTTTTAAAAAATCCACGTTTATGGTCCTTTTAATATCCTTTAAAAATTCTTTTAAAAAATCCACGTTTATAGTCCTTTAAAAATTCATTAAAAAAATCCACGTTTATAGTCCTTTAAAAATTCTTTAAAAAAAATCCACGTTTATAGTCCTTTAAAAATTACTTAAAAAATCCACGTTCATAGTCCTTTAAATATCCTTTAAAAATTGTTTAAAAAATTCACTTTTTTAGTCCTTTGAATATCCTTTAAAAATTCCTTAAAAAATCCACATTTATAGTCCTTTGAATATCCTTTAAAAATTGTTTAAAAATCCACATTTTTAGTTCTTTGAATATCCTTTAAAAATTGTGACAAAATTAGTTTCTATGACAGCCCTGATTGCTTCAAAATCCAAAACATTATTTCAAAATCCACATTTAGTGGCTCTTAGAGGCCATGAAAAAAATTGCAGAAAAATCAATTTTTTTGTTCTGAAGGCACTGATTATCTGTTAAAAACCAACATTTGAAACAATAGTTTTTAACCACTTAAAGAATGGCAAAAGCATAGCAAAGTTTTGCTCTTTTTCACTCGGGAACGAAACTTGTTCGCGAGCAGAATTACTCGAAGAGTGGACATTTTTTATGAGTCTACTCTTCACTCTTTTGTTGCCACTCCTGTTTTAAGAATTAGATTGGGAGCCAAAACTCTGAAAATAAAGCAATAGTTTGTCTAAGACTGAAAAAGAAAGGAAACAATTATTTGTTTCCAGATTTGTGTGCAACAGCTCGGATGAAGAGGGGGGAGACGGGGAAGGTGGAAAAAGAAGGAAAATTATGAAGATTGTGAAAGGAGGGAGAAGATGGAAGAAAATGGCGAGAGTTGGATCGTGGACAGAACAAATCCACTAACACAGATATACCACAATGGTATGAAAAAAAACTAAAAGAGTGCTCGCAGGAGTAGAATCTGCTCGATTACGTACGAATTTTGCTCCCACTTAAAAATTAGGAAAATTTCGAGAAACATTCGAGCGTCATCGAAAAATTAAACTTCCTCGAGTTTATTCTGCTCCTAGGAGCGATACCGCAGGAATTCAAATGAGTTTCGCTCTTTGTATTAATTCCAATGAGTTTTTTTTGGAAGGCTGGACCAAAAATATGGCGGGCCCGTCTTATACTACCCAACACCACTATGAAACACAAACATCACGGGAAAGAAGTAGCTCTCTCGCTCGAATTCGAGTGAGTTTTACTCTTTGTAGAAATTTGAGCGAGTTTTTCGGAGGACTGGGCAAAAGTCCGACGGGCCCGGAAAATTTGCTCACTCCCACTCGAACGACATCGAAAAAATAGGTTTGCCCGATCTAATCTAAGTATGGTGGCTCTGATGATCCTTGGAAAAATATTCTTAAAAATCCTCGTTTTGTGGTTCCTTTACGAACTATAAATACGAAATTTGTTACAATTTCGGCGAACAATGTCGCACAAATCATAAAAATACCGAATATCCCCGATACCGTTATATGGGGGCTATACGAAAACGTGGACATGCTTCCAAAAATTTCGTCATAGCCTGTAGCACCCATTTCGAACTTCAAATACGAAATTTTATATAATACCGATAAATAATGTCGCTAAAATCATGAAAATATCGAATATCGGGAGCTACCGTTATATGGGGGCTATACGACCACCCATTACGAACTTCAAATACGAAATTTGACATAATACCGATAAATAATGTCGCTAAAATCATGAAAATACCGAATATCGGGAGCTATCGTCATATGAAGCCTATACGAAAACGTGAACCTGCTTACAAAAACGTTTATCATAGGCTGTTGTATCCTTTACGAACTTTAAATATTAAATAATTCTGGTAAATGATGTCGCTAAAATTATGAAAATACCGAATATCGGGAAGTACCATTATATGGGGGCTATACGAAAACGAGGACCGACATGGCCCATTTACGAACTTAACCTGTTTACTGGAGAACTATGCATGTATGCAAAATTTTAGCCTTCTATCTCAATTCGTTCGAGAAATAGCGTGATTACAAGAGACATACAGACGAACAGACAGGCAAACGGACAGAAAGACGAGATCGTCTTTGAATTTTACGCTGATCCAGAATATAGTAATATTTTAGGTTGCGTTGATGGTCCTTTATAAAATATTTTTAGAAAATACATATTGGTAGCTTTGAAGATCCTTGAAATAGATTTCTTATGGTCCTTTAAAAATCCACTTTTGATGTATTTAATGCTTCTTTCCAAAATATTTTTAAAGTCCCAGTTTGGTGTCTCTGAAGATCCTTGAAAAACTTTCTTAAAATACCATTTTTGTTGATTCTGATGGTCGTTGAAACAAAATCTTAAAAATTCACGTTTAATGACCAGATGTCTTTTAAAAATATTCATAAATAATGGGGTCGTACGAAGACGTGGACCTGCATACAAAATTTTTTGTCATAGCCTGTAGCACCCATTACGAACTTCAAATACGAAATTTGACATATTACCGATAAATAATGTCGCATAAAATCAAGTTTAATGGCCATAGGTCCTTTAAAAATATTCAGAAATATCCACGTTTGGTGGCTGTGATGGTCCTTTGAAAAAAAATTTTTTGGAAAAATGCAAGTTGGTGGTTTCGAAGGTCCTTGAAAATGTATTTTTAAAAATCCAAGTTAAGTGCTCTCTTATGGTCCTTTTGAAATCCACTTTTAATGCATTTGAGGTTCCTTTCCAAAAATTGTTTAAAGTCCCAGTTTGGTGTATCGGAAGATCCTTGATAAACATTTTTAAAATTCCACTTTTGTTGGTTCGAATTCTACATTTAATAGGCCAGAGGTCCTTCAAAAATATTCATAAAAATCCACGCTTGTCGGCTGTGATTGTCCTTGACCATCGTAGCTCTGAAGGTCCTGGAAAACATTTCCCTAAAATCCAAGTTTGGCACCCCTGATGGTCCCTATAATATCATTTTTAAAAGCCCACCTTTGATGGCGCTGGTCATTGAGAAATACTCAAAAAAAAAAAATTTTGGTGGCTCTGATGGTAGTACACGTTTTTTCTTAACTTAAATTTTAGCAAAGACTATAAAAGGCTCCAAGGTGAATTTTTAAGATTCTCTTTTTTTATACCCTCCACCATAGTATGGAGGGTATATTAAGTTTGTCATTTCGTTTGTAACACCTCGAAATATACATTTTAGACCCCTCAAAGTGTAAGTGTGCAGGTCCATGTCTTTGTGTAGCCCCAATATAACGGTACCTCCCTATATTCGGAATTTTCTTGATTTAACTACATTATTAACCGATTTTTTTTTATTCAAGTCTCGCATTAGTATACAGGGTTGCCCATATTCGACGGACCCATCTGGCAACGCTCTGAAATAGTTGAAATTTACAAGAAGTCAGTTGTGAAAACTCAACGTGCGATTAAAACATTAAAAAATGTGAGAAGTGCGCCTTCTAAGAACACCATTTAGCGTTTATACGAAAAATTTTCGACTGGTAAGGCTCTTTCTAATCCGAAGAGGACATATAAAAGTCGACCAAGGCGATCGACCGAGAATATCGCTGCCGTACTAGCCCGTGTTGAGAGATCCCCAAGAACATCCCAAAAACGCCGTTCTCAGCAGTTGGGCATGGCTCGGTCCACTTTACAATGGATTATTCACATTGATTTGCATTTTTTTCCCGTACAAAATTCAATTGACGCAAAGAATGTTGCCTGCGGACAAGCCTCGTCGATTGGAATGGGCCCAAAGGGCCCAAAGGTCCGTCGAATATGGGCAACCCTGTATTGTAATGGTTTATGACAAAAGTTGCCTATGCACGTCCATGTCGTCGTATAGACCCTAATAAAACGGCTACATTCGGTATTTTTAAGATTTTAAACAGAATTTTTAACGCATTTTATTTTTTTTTATTTTTTTTTGAAAATTGCCAAATTCGTTCCAAATGGTGGAGGGCATTCAAAGTGCGGCCCGGCCGAACTTACAGCCTTTTTACTTGTTAGTTTTCATTTTTTTAAATTTTCGAAACTAACCTCATTTTTGTTTATTTTTTTCGTTTTCAGATAATATACATAGAACTTCTGGCGACAGTGGGCACAAATTCCGGTACATATATCATTCTTTTTTATTTCTAATGTTCTTGAAATTTTTATATAGTCTTTATCACGATTAGAAGATAATAAAATATAATTTATTGACAACATTGCGTGATTTCTATGAAGGTTGATAAAACATTTTTTCTCTACCAAGAGTTAGAAAATTTGTGGAAAAAAATTCGAAAACTATGTTAACAACTAAATTTCATCATTGATATTTCACAAAAAAGTACATAAAAATCTCATCTGATGGTCAATGATTTCAATTTTTTTTTTTTTTTTTTTTTTTTGATTTTTGAAATCGACATAAATAAGATATGTATTTTTAGAAATCGAAAATAATGAGCACCTGTGATTGAAATGTTTTAAAAATAGCTGCAACATAATTTTTTAACACCTATCTATCTAATCTGCTGACTAACAAAAACACAATTGCCCATTTGAAATGTGGGAGTGTTATGTTTGAAAATTAAAAAAAAAAAAATAAACATAAAATAATAATAAACTATGAACATATTTTTTAAATAGTTTTCTCAGGCAGGGCATCGATTTAATTTGAAATTCATTAACAATATGGCTACTCAGCGTGAAGAAGAAGCCGCTGCCGATTACTAAAAAATACAAAGGCCAACAACTATTGACGCATTGATAATGTGGGAAGAAAAATGTTTAAACTCATTAAATCCATATCTCCAAATCAAAAATAGTATTGAAATTATGTTTATTTATGCTAAATCAATGTTCGCACACACACACACACTGAGTTACAGATTAGCCCCAACATGTTCGGAATATGTCGGAAGTTATCAGTTCGGTTGTATCTGATTTATAATCAGGCTATTTAAAATAGAACATTTGCATTTTACATGTTTTTTTGATTCTTTGATATTGTTTTGAATATTTTTTTTTTCATGATTATGTGGGAGATTGATACTGAAGATTGTTGTGGCTTTTCAAAAATGGTGGGTGGTTTAGTAATGAAAGGAATATGGAAGATATTTGCGAGATTTGAAATATAAGATTATGATTATGTTTTAATAAGAATATTAAAAAAATTGGATTGTTATAAAAAAACTCAAGGAGCAAAGCAAACAAACGTGGATTGTTTGAGGAAACATTTTCAAGGACTATCAGATACATCAAACGTAGCCTTTAAGAATATTTTTTCAAGGACCACAATATTTTCTAAGGAATATTCTTTCAAAGATGAAATAAGGGTTTAAATAAGGGTTTTATAGCAACATTTTTCCAAGAGCTCTCGGAACGGTGGATTTTCAGAAGCATTTTTTTTTCAAGTAGCAACAGTAGCACCGAATGTGAATTAAAAAAAAAATTGCAGGAATAATAAACTACAAATATGAAGATCTTTTAAAATATATTTTCAAGGACTAACAATATAGCATTCTTCCAAATATGTTTTAATAAATGTTAGTGGCATCAAAAGTGGATCTTGTGGGATAACGTGGATTTTTTAAGAAAGATTTTTAAAATATTTTTTGATGTAAACTAAAACCAATGGTTGAGGATTTTTTAGGAATTTGTTCTAATGCCCAACGGATCAAAACAAGGATCATCAGAGCCACCAAATGTTGACTTTCTTTGGAAACATTTTTTCAAGGAACACAGTGTATTTTTCAAAACGTAGAATAAATCAATATATATTTTTAAAGACCATCAGAGCCACCAAACTAGTATTTATTTTGTCGATATTTTGGGAGAAGAATTCGTACTAAATTTTTCCAAAATATACATAATATAAATATTTGGAGCTAAAAATGCTAGATTTTTGGAGCTACCTTTCACAAAGTATTTCAAGAATCGACAGAAAAAAAAACAAAATAAAAATGGATTTTGGAGAATATTTTTTGGTTCACCAGAGCGTGGAATTTTAGAAATATTTTTTCGCCATCAAAGCCAACTCTTGTGTGTTTTTTTTTAAATCCTATTAGACTCATAAAAGTGGATTTTTAAGAATTTTTTTCAAAGGTGATCAGAGCCACCAACCTTGGATTTTAAGGAGAAAACTTCAAAGGACTTTTTTGAGGTGCAATTTTTAAGAATATTTTTTAAGGGCCAAATGTAGATGTTTAAAATTTATTTTCAACGGCCAAAAGTAAATTAAAGGACCAATAGAGCCACCAAAAGTGGATTTTTAAAAATACCTTTCAAAGATCCTCAGAGGCACCAAACGTGGATTTTTTTAAATACTTTTCAATCCATCTTTATAACAGATCTTGTGTTGATAAATAAATATTGAGATGTGCCAAGTTCGAATGGAATCGGACCGAATTAGAGCTACCTTTTCATAACGTTTTAAGGAATCGACAGAAATAAAACAGAAAAAATAGTTGATTTTTGAAGTATTTTTAGGACTATCAGAGCAAAGGGATGTGGATTTTTAGGAATATATTTTCACTATCAAACACAATTCTTAGGAATATAAGAGCTACCAGTCACTTGTGTGCGTTCTTCAAATATTTTTCAAGTTTCATTAGAGTTACAAAACGTGGGTTTTTTAATTTTTTTTTTTGCCAAACATGGATTTTTTAACGAAAATATTTTTCAAGGATTTGTCATCAAGTATTTGTCAATGACAAAACTGGGATCTTTTAAGAACCTTTTTGAAGTCAATTTTTGAAGGGCCAATCGTGGATTTTTAAATATTTTTCAAGAGCCAAACGTGGACTATTTTTCAAGAACCAAACTTGGTTTTTTTTTAAAAATATTTTTCAAGACCCAAACGTGGAATATTTTTCAAGGACCAAACGTGGAATATTTTTCAAGGACCAAACGTGGATTTTTTAAAAATATTTTTCAAGACCCAAACGTGGAATATTTTTCAAGGGTTCAAACGTGGAGTATTTTTCAAGGACCAAACGTGGAATATTTTTCAAGGACCAAACGTGGAATATTTTTCAAGGACCAAATGTGGAATATTTTTCAAGGACCAAAGGTGGTATATTTTTCAAGGACCAAACGTGGATTTTTTTAAATTTTTTTTTCAAGACTCAAACGTGGAATATTTTTCAAGGGTTCAAACGTGCATTTTTTAAAATTTTTTTTCAAGACTCAAACGTGGAATATTTTTCAAGGGTTCAAACGTGGATTTTCTAAAAATATTTTTCAAGACCCAAGAGTTCAAACCTGGATTGTTTTTAAATATTTTTCAAGACCCAAGGGTTCAAACGCGGATTTTTAAGATTATTTTTTTAAGGATTATCAGAGTCACCAAACGTAGAAATTTTTCAAATTACTTTTGAAGGATTATCACAGCCACCAAACGTGGATATTTTTCAAATTACTTTTGAAGGATCATCATAGCCACCAAACTTGGCTTTTTTTCAAATTACTTTTGAAGGATCATCATAGCCACCAAACTTGGCTTTTTTTCAAATTACTTTTGAAGGATCATCACAGCCACCAAAATTGGATTTTTTTTAAATTACTTTTGAAGGATCATCACAGCCACCAAACGTGGATTTTTTAAGAATATTTTTTCAAGGACCACCAGGGACACCAAACGTGGATTTTTTCAAATTAATTTTAAAGGATCATCACAGCCACAAAACGTGGATTTTTTAAGAATATTTGTTTAAGGACCACCAGAGACACCGAATGGAATCGGATGTTCATTTCTCGTTTATGAGCTTCATGGATATTCAAAATTTTGGTACCTCCCCCACCGATATATTCAATCTCCGCAGCAGATCTTGTAATAGTACAAGTAATGGAATATGTGAAATATGAAGATAACCAGATTTTTTTTTTTGGAATTTATGTTCACAGCCACCAAAATTGGATTTTTTTTAAATTACTTTTGAAGGATCATCACAGCCACCAAACGTGGATTTTTTAAGAATATTTTTTCAAGGACCACCAGGGACACCAAACGTGGATTTTTTCAAATTAATTTTAAAGGATCATCACAGCCACAAAACGTGGATTTTTTAAGAATATTTGTTTAAGGACCACCAGAGACACCGAATGGAATCGGATGTTCATTTCTCGTTTATGAGCTTCATGGATATTCAAAATTTTGGTACCTCCCCCACCGATATATTCAATCTCCGCAGCAGATCTTGTAATAGTACAAGTAATGGAATATGTGAAATATGAAGATAACCAGATTTTTTTTTTTGGAATTTATGTTCACAGCCACCAAAATTGGATTTTTTTTAAATTACTTTTGAAGGATCATCACAGCCACCAAACGTGGATTTTTTAAGAATATTTTTTCAAGGACCACCAGGGACACCAAACGTGGATTTTTTCAAATTAATTTTAAAGGATCATCACAGCCACAAAACGTGGATTTTTTAAGAATATTTGTTTAAGGACCACCAGAGACACCGAATGGAATCGGATGTTCATTTCTCGTTTATGAGCTTCATGGATATTCAAAATTTTGGTACCTCCCCCACCGATATATTCAATCTCCGCAGCAGATCTTGTAATAGTACAAGTAATGGAATATGTGAAATATGAAGATAACCAGATTTTTTTTTTGGAATTTATGTTCGTTTTTTGGTTATTCAAATGTTTGACCCTTTGTGAGGTAGGTACCACAAAGAGTGGACCGATATATTCCATATTCACCCCAGACCTTGGGTTAATAAAAATCTTGTGATGTGTAAAATTAAAAGAGTTGTCCATTGTCCGTTTTCATACCTGACCTAGCACTGATGCAAATATTAGGATGTGCAAAGTTGCAACAAAATCGGATTATCGTTTCTCCTTCTGGACAGTAAAACATTTTCTAGCTATATGGCTGAAGGTATAATTACTAAAGTCATTGGTTGGTAATGAGAATATTTGCTGGGAATTTTACCGAAACTATTTGTTCCTTATTTAACAAACTATGTTCCCAAAAACTAGTTTTCAATATTTCAGAATTCCCGACCTTACTCAAAAAATGTTATGATATCGCTAACTGTGAAAATCACATTAACATAAACGGTAATTTAGACTCTTATCGACAACATTCAAGATCACATCAGCCAATGTTATGGC